CTATATGTTGCATTCCCTCACAAATATGTCCTAAAATGCTCTGGGATTTTGTTAATGGATGTTTGAAGATTATCTAGAAACATTTTCCATTTCTTCATAATGTTTCGGGATCGATAATGAAATATTTCGCATTTCTTCAATTTTGCATGGCTTATATCTGGAAAACTATCAGTTTTAGAGAAAATTCCTATCATACCTCTTTTGTTCAGAATGTCCCAAAAAGCACTTTGACCGAATTGAAAATAGCAATTTTTGTAATTTGCTTAAGCAATTGTTTAAACAAATTGGTGAAGCAAATTTGGAACTGGCAAAAATGCAGATTCGTTAAAATGGATCTATTTGAAGATGCCTCGAGTGCATATTTGGAGTACTCGTAGAAAGAGTATGTAAAATCTACTTATCAGTAATTAAAAAACAATAATTGCGCATTGAGAAACAATAATACTTACTTTGGACTTTAAAATCTATTATGTAGGTGTAAAAACTACGACAAAACAATCTTTCAGTACATCATTCATGCATCATCGCAATAAAGCAATTTGGTATATTTTCTATTTTTCAACAACCATAAACTAGCAACATCACGATAGATATACACTAATTAACATAGGTTACGTATGAGGAGATCTACCAGCAGCAAAAAGTTAAAGATATTTATGGGCATTTACGACATCCAAACAATCGGATCCTCGTTAGTTTCTAGGAAGTAAGAAATAAATACGGGTAAGTATAAATTAATTGTGAGTTACATAAACATTCACATTCAAATGCATTAGATGTGCCATGTATATTTTTGTATGAATGTAATTAATTTATTCAAATTAGAGGTTTCACTATGTGTATGCGTATTCTTGAACCACAAGTCTTACCAGTTTTTATGAATTCCTATGTAAATAGTGAAAAATGTACTTATACTAAGTAACATATAAATCCAAACACCCAGTTTAAATGGTTTTATTTTAATAAAATTTTGTATAAGTACTTAATGAAGCATAATAAGTAAATGATAAAAATTTCAAAATGATTGCACTGCTTTAAAGCCCTTTGACCTTTAATAATGTGTGGATGCACCCTGATGTGCTACGCATTCTCCAACGCGCCTAGGCATGCTTATGATCAGGTGGTCAATGTCCTCCTGTGGTATCTGATTCCAGGCAACCACCAACTCCTCTCGAAGTGCTTCTAGAGTCTGAGGAGGACGTTGCAAATTGAGCAATCTCCTACCCATCATATCCCACACGTGCTCAATTGGGGATAAGTCGGGAGATCTTGGTGGCCATGGTAACAATGTGACATCATTTTGTTGAAAGAAGTCTATTGTGACTCTTGCAACATGTGGTCGGGCATTATCTTGTTGGAAAGTTGGATCTGCCAGGGTGTCAAGATAGGGTAAAAGATGGGGTTCTAGAACTTCGTGGATATGACGCTGCGTGTTCATGTTACCTCTGATGAAGATTAAAGGTGACCTGGAACCATAAGCTATATAGCACCCCAAACCATAACTCCAACAGTGTGATGAACATGTCTTTCAACAAAAAACTGTGGATTCCTCCTTTCACCACGTCGCCTTCTAACCCTGGCACGACCATCGTGCATGCCTAAACAAAATCGAGACTCGTCACTAAATACTGAGCCATTTCTGATCCCAGAGTGACCGTTGTCTGCACCACTCAAGGCGATTACGTCGGTGTTCTCAAGTTAAAGGGAGGACCCAGTGTGGCCGGTATGAAAACAAGCCAAAACTTCTCATTCGTCGGTAAACACTTCGCATGCCAATAGGTCTTCCGTGTTCTGCAAACCATTCATTTGCAATGGACCTGGTAGTGGAGAAACGGTCCCTTAAGGCCAATAATCTTAGGCGGCGATCTTCACGGTCTGTTGTTCTACGGCGGCGTCCAGTGCTCCTTGCTCTTTGCGTACGGCCTTCTCGAAGCCATGCCTGACAAGACCTAACCACAGTGTCTACACTTCTTTGCACTCTAACTGCAATTGCCCGAAAAGAAAGTCCAGCTTCCCGAAGTCCCACTATACGGCCCCTATCAAACTCACTAAGTTGACGAAATCGTACAGGTCTCCGTACTCTAGGCATCGTAACCGATCGTAAAGGATGTCAAGAACCAAAATCCGCCAACGTAGATTCTTTACTGCGGCTGAAATATTCATTTTTAGAGCGTTAGTGAATTAAAAAAAAGCAGTATAAAAACCGGAATGTCCAACTGATAAGGCTGAACATTTTTTCACTTGTTATTTACAGTAAGATAAATACATTCACCAACTTTTATTAAAATAAAATCATTTAAACTTAGTATATATAGAGAGGATCTTGATTTATACACTGTTCCGACTAGGCAACCATAATTTTTTGGGATAATACTAATTTTCGAGGAACAGAAGGATAATTTCCTCACGAAAAGAGAAATCACTAAATGATAGGACTGTGGATTCTTAAGTGTCAAGGATCAAATATGAGTTCGGAAATAAGTCACGCGAGACCCCCATGGGTAGTAGTAACAGTTGTGGCAGTAGTGGTAGGGAGGCGAAGTATGGCACCTAGGCCTAGTTTGAACCTTTTTTCAGACCCCGTAGTATCAACACTGTAAATGATTTCATTCAATTTCATTTTTTTTATTAATACACTTGCGTGCTTACACAGGTCAAAGTACAAGTTAAAATATAAAAGTGTAAATTCACGAAACAATAAAATGTGTTGGAAAGAACAACATTAACAGAAAAACTGTAAAATGATATTACAATAATACAGGGTGTTTAAGAAAAAAAAATACAAACTTAATGAAAAAAAAAATTTTATTGGTCCAAATCTTTGCCTTCCCCTCGAACACACTCTTCTAATCGCGCGCGCAAATTCTGAAACACTCTCTTGCAGAGTTCCGGAGTGATATTGTTGATTTCTCGTTGAATGCTGTCTTTAAGTTTCTCCAGTGTTCGTGGATTATTGGAATACATTTTTGACTTTAGATAACCCCACAAAACATAATCGCATGGGGTGAGGTCAGGTGATCTAGGAGGCCTGTGAATGTCTTCAAACTTCCACATAACTTTTTGAGGAAAAAGTGCTTTCACCATGTCGATTATCTGGAAGCATGGACAATGGCCATGTGTTTCTATTAAATCGACGTTCTTACAATAAGAGCAAAAGCAGTTTCAATCATGTCATTGTATTACTCGGAATTGACTTTCAACGCATGGCCCTTTTCATCTTCAAAGAAATACGACCCAATAATACCGCTAGAGGATATGGCGCACCAAACAGTCACCTTTGGACTATGTAGCTGTTGTTGATGTGTCTCTTTTGGGTTTGTTGGTACCCAATAACTGCAATTTTGCTTATTCACATAACCGTCTAAGTGAAAATGGGTGTATGAATCACCACTCTTAGAGTAGGTCCAACGTTCCATTGTGACTATTTAACCCGCACGCCGAACGCGTCGATCAAGACCTCTCTCTACTTCCTCGCTTGAACGGTTCCCGCGTAATTCAAATTTGAAATGTGAACTTTCCCACTGGACACCCAAATACAAAACTACAGAATAAATTAACAAACAGTAGATGTAATTTATTATTGAATAAATCAACTCTAGCGATGCGATGTAGCTCATCTTGTTCCGATATTGTGCATGATAGTTCATTAGTTCATTTATTTAAGAAAATTTACAACAAACAACACAACATCCATCACTCGGAATCAACTTCCGAGGCGGAAATTCGAACCCGTGAGCCTCAGGTCGATCAACTGCCAGCTCAACGCTCTAACCAGTCGGCTATCGTGGTCGCATAGCCCCCACTTTCTCGTGCAATATTGCCGCACGTCCTCATTTTCCACGATTTTTTAAAATAATTCATATATTTCCAGATTTTTTACCGAGAAGAGCTAAAACCAAAAATTAAGTTAAATAACTGATATATGAATAGGAGGTTTATGTAGTTTTATGCCTCAATCCAATCATACATACGTGGGTACACTTACGCAGTCAGGCACAAAACGGACGTAGCACATCCCCCACTCTGCTTTTCCTGTATTAATTTTTATGCCCAGTAGCTCACCATCACTCATCAAAGAAACTAAAGCTAGCTTGCTTTAGTTCAATGTTAAATTATAACGTGAGTCTTCAGGTTCAAGGATAAACAGAAAAGTATTCACAATCTTATAAACAAGAATGTGAAAATGAGTTTCCAGGATGGTTGCAAGGGAGTCTGAAGAGCGAGCAGTATGCTCATTGTACAAGTTGTAATATATAAGTCGATATTTTATCCAAAACGATGTCTTCAAGAAGCCTGTGTTGTTTGAACGCGGGCAATACAAAATAATACTAGTATCATAAACGGCGCTGCGTGGCGCAAAGGATCTTGATCCAACGCGATGGCCCTAATATTTTCGCCCTACCGATTTTGTCCCTGAATCTACCGAATTTCGATGACACATCAACCGATTTCGTTTTTTTTTGTTTGTCAGAATTGCCCTCATGGATCCTAGCGGTAACCTAACGTTGGACCTGAGATCTTGGTTGAGAGAGACGCTAAGACAAAAAATTAATATTAACATGTACGTACTATATAACGCTGTTGTGCATGGCATTCCTTTTGTCGACACTTCTACAGCATTCTTATGTGCATACCTCATCATTCTATCTACCTCCAAGGTGGCACTTGCATCACTGTTACACCATCAATTACCAGGTCTCAAAGAAGAACATCCATGGCAAAATTGAAACAGGTAGTTTCTTTGCACATCCCGATATTTATTGTTATTTAGTGTTAATAATGATCATAACCGGCTGACCGTGAGCGCATGAAAGCACTGCTAGCGATAATGGACATCATCGACTACTGATTTCTATTTACATACATAACTATATCAATAATAATTACCGATAGTCGGCCTTGTTAAAATAGCATCATATCTGCATGAATATTTCGTAAAGTAATCAGCTGTTATTTATCAGTATTGTGCAGATGCCATTTATAGAATATTTTACGTTTAGGCAATGAGGAAGCTATCAGCTCACAGAGGTAAGTTGTGACAGGAAGTGCTGGATATTTAATTTTTTTCATAGCTACTGCAACTACGACAAAGCCTAATAAAGTTTTTAAACTATGCCTCAATGGATACTTTCGAATTTTGTTGGTGAATTAAACTAACCATTACATAAATATACCTGTTGAGGATGGGAAGATTCGAACCCGCCTTTGGGACAACAGATTACCGTCTCGACGCGCTAACCTCTTGTCTAACCGAGCTTTTTAGCAAAATTGGTGCCGAATTTTACCAATAAATTGAGGCATAGCTTACAAATGTAGCATTTTATTTGATAGCAGATTTCATAGTGCGCTTGAATTAGATACCTGAGAGGGGTCATTGTAATTAATCATTGTAATTACACCTGGTATCCCATACTTCGAGCTCTCTCAGCTCATTTTTATGTTAGAAACCTTAATTCTCGGTTCGCATTTATCAACTGGGTTAATGCACAAAAAGATAATAACACACTAGAACATTGTAACAAACACATTTCCTGTAAGATATGCGGTGTTGTTTCCTTTTTCCTAATCACATTTCTATAACGATATAACCGTATAAACCACTAATGAAATATGGACCGTTATTTTTGTGGTTTATGTGGGTGCAATATTGCTATTCACCTTCAAGCGGTTAATAATTTAATAAAATATACATATTCTGGAAGAACTATTTACACCAAATACTGCTAATCATTCTTTTCGCATACACACTTTCGCTGACTGGGAATTCTGACAATAAGAAATATGTATCTCTCCCCTGTCCCTTACTTCACGTGAGATTTTGCAAAATCTTTATTTTTGTGTAAGTGCGATGGGTATGTTTTAAAAAACACAATTTGCGTCAACATTTTTAATTAGGACTAGTATTCAAGATTGCTTAGCTCGAAGTCTAAAATCAAAGTGATAAAATGGAACATATACAATAAAATACTTAGATCTTTGAATTTCATACCAAAATTTAAAAAAAAGTATTTATTCGATCCAAATCCTTCCCCCTGCTCGAACACCTTGCGTTATGTTGAGCGCTGTGATTTTGGCAGACTATTTTCGTCTAAAAATGAACCTTCCTAACATTTCGGTTAGACAGAGTTTTTTAGTACTATTTCATTTCTTTATTTGTGGTACATTTTGTACTTATTGGTAGATAAAGACCAGAGGCATGCATGAAGATGGTAATTAAACAAAATCATTCTCAGCGGAAATTAGCAATTTTTATGCAAAATTTGCTTTCCCTTAATATAAATATCCTGTTGGTTTCCAAATCAAAAAAAAGTGCATCTCTTTCTGCTTCATCAAATTTTGAATATCTGATGATTTCTCTCGTTGTGCTAGATTTCGCGAGATAAAATGTCTAATCACTGGTTCTCGACCGTTTTTATAGGCACGTTTCAGTGATGAATTGCTCAAAAATTGGTATGTATAGTTAATGTTCTAGATACGTGTTTAAAAATAATGGATATTACTGGAATTCGACTCAAATTGCCCTTTGTCCGTATAACCAACCATCCATTATGGTCAATCAAATACTACTACAGCTGAGAACAATACCTTCATAAAAGTATAAATAAAAACCTCGGCTACGTGATTTCTATCGTAAGTCCAAGTAAATGAAATATAAAGAAGTATTTTATTTCAGTTCCAGAGGTTACATTTAAAACTCATTAGTTACCATTTCTTAGAAAAAGTTTGTTATTTACGTAAATAAAATGACCGGATGTTGGATCAATTTTCTAACCAGTACTTGTTTGTAATTTGCAGTATTATGCATCCAGAAATTTTCAGTGTTAAATTCAACACATAAAGGTGCATCCAGTATACAGAGAGGTGCTATTGGAATACGAGTATCATTTGTCTATACACAGACGTATCATGGGGCGGAGCAAAGAACGACACACTGATACATCACATTGACACAGGTTTGGATTAAGGTAACATCAGTATACAGCATACATCTGTAGCTACTAAGCCAGCATCAATTAACTATGTGAGATGTTAAGGGGAAAAGGATAGAAGAGTCAAATCTCACCTAATCTCACGTGAGAAAGAGGGGTCTCGGCAAATAACGCGCGATTTTTCCACAAAATTGCGATAATTAGGGGTTAATATAGAGTATAACATGTGCTCTGATTAAAATAAAGCAAAGTTTGCCACATTATATTGGCCAAATCTTAAGAGAAGATGAGGGGATCAGAAAAACTTAATTAATGGACGCAAGGCATTCAAAGGACCTTAATTATATTGTTTATTATTATTAATAATCTTTACAATATCTTAATATGTAAAATGTTATGCCTGACGATTTTGTGGTATCCACATCGGATTGCCTACATTGGAGCATCAGAGCACCATGTTTATTTAGCACACTCAAAATAATGATGGTATAATTATATGAAAAAAATGTAATACTCGTATATCTAAAAGCACCTGATTAAGTTGCGCAAGCCATAAATGCAGGTCAATTTGACAGATTTGTACTATAAAATTCTCGAATGACCCGATGACTAAATACGTTCATGTTATATCCTCTTGAGATTCTACATAAATGATAAAATGCCTACATTTATAAAAAAAATTTATGGCGATATGACAAGTTGCTAGAAAAAATTCGTTCACTTATCCTCATTTACATATTCATTGTTTTATGAAACTTGCATCCAATTGTTCAACACACAACTTTGAACCAACGTCTAGACTCTAGACGTATGTGTCCGTTAATATAATATGCTGGACATTTAAGAGTAACATATATCAGATCTCCTACCGAATATTTTATGCAAAAATTGTTCAACAACAGTCGAGAACGTTAACTTTTAGTTATTGCCATAAAAAGGGTTATCATCTTCGTTAAGGTAAAGTATTGCATCAAAGCTATTACTAATACCAACGACATAGAACATCAACCGATTATGGCTGGTTATTCCTTCCACAAGATGCTCTTAGTAATTTATATAAGTTCTGAATATGGTTAAAGCCTTTTTACTTTATCGCGGAAAATTTTGAACATGAGATTTCATGTTTTTGGATGATATGATATGTACATCATGAAAAACAATGTCACTCATTTTTGGCGGTCTATCTATCCGATGATACTTGGCCCGTCTATAACATGGAAGGTATCGCTCGGATTTGAAATGAGATGTTCACACAAGGTTAACGATATGACAAGGACAACACAGATTTGTAGTTTTTCAAAGTGGGTTCAGTGGCTGCAGAGAAAAATGTCTATGGACTAATTGTACCAACCCATTTGATGGACTGGATTCGTTTAATGTGTTATACATGTTCGAAACTAACTTTTTTACCAAAGCGTCTATCTTGAAAATGTTGCTTTCATGCAATCGGTCAAAGACAAATCATGTGTGTTTTTTTGGCAAGTTATCAGCATGGTCTAGGCTTGATCTTTGGGGCAACAACGGAAAGCATAACAACTATCCTCTATCCATGGTATATGGGCTAAGGCGCAATCTTATTTCGATAGGGTCTAACAAGTTCGTTGTGTGGAAAAAGTAGAGTCAACCTACTTCATGCTACTTTTTTCAACACCTTTGTTAAGACTGAAACATAGCTCCTGAAGATTATGCTCATCCATTATAGATGTTTTATCCCCCCATCTGCCTTTTTATGGCAATACCTTTTAGATCATTCCTTTTGGTTCAGAGTTGGAAACCCGGTACTGTCGGTCTAAGTTGCTGCCTAATGAGCTGCGTTTCAGATGAAATGTGGTGTTGTGCAGCTTTCGCCCCACTACATGATATATAAGTCTAACAAAATATGTCCCTTAACCAATTAAACATCAGAGCACCTGAACACCTTTGAAAAAACATTCGTAATCGGCAACGAAGTCGGGCAAAAAATAAAATCCTTATGATTCCTCCCATTCCAAATTCATGTCAAGTTAATGCAAATGCGCGAAAAGGGAGACGAGTTGGGAGGAAGGAGAGGGAGGAGGGTATGAGGGGGGTCGTTCACGATTGGAGACCGGCCTTTTTCAGATGAAAGCTAAAAGCATCCCCATCGTTTGCCTGACGCCGACGATTAGCTAGGCAGGATATATGGTCGCATTTCAACCAAATTTACTGTTGGAAATTATTGCCTTAACGGTAGCTACCATCTCCATTGGAGTACGCATCAATTTTCATAGCGGGCTTATAGCAGTTATTATGCGTCAAAAAGTAGGTATACCTTTTTGGTGTTTGGTCTATCATTGATACAGAATGAAAACGAAAAGATGTCAGATAGTGCAAAGGTCTAAAGTGTCACCAGTTTGCATTAATATTAATATAACAATGGTAATAATAATATATGTATCTAAGCTACAAGTAAAACAATGAGTGCAAAGAAGGCATTTCCTGTACATGCTGCAACTGTATAATAGAAATTATATATAAGTGTAAAAAATACAGGTTGAAGTTTTAAGTTTAATTTAAAATATTTGTTACTATCTTATGAATGTGCATCATTGCCATAGAGCATAGAAAATAGCCACTTTTAAAAATTTTTATTGAAATAATTTCCGAAACATAAAAAATTCTTTATATTTATACTTTGGTTAAATTTCATAAAATTTTGGTGATAAGTAGATACACGACCGCTGCATCACAGATTTATGTGGTTTTGAAACTTTGCATCTTGTAAAATGATTACGACTAATTTGTTTCATTGGTGTTGATAAATTTATGATACTGGTTGCGTAAGAAAGTTGCCTCATGTCATATACACCTGCACGTCAGAATACAGGTCATTAGTAGGATAAAGTCTGGGCTTACTGAATATTGTCTTCAAAATATTTTTTTGGAAAACATATAAATTATATGTATTGATTGAAAATGTACCCCATGATAAAATATAATAGGTTAGATGTGGTTCAATCAATGTATGGTATAACCTACGAAGGTACTTTTTGGTCATAATGCTTGTTAGATATATACATATAATTTTATATGACACAAATATTTTTTTACTTATTTAAATATGAGAAATGTGTTTTTGAG